GACTGAATACAGGTGTACCAACTTTAGTAAGGCACTGCTTTACCAACACTTACTTCACCTGGAAAGGTATATTTTACAAACAAAATGAAGGTACCCCAAGGGGTTCTCCCTTATCGCCAGCGGTAACGAATGTTTTCATGGAGAAATTTGAGACAGATGCCATCCAGACATCCACCCTACGTCCTTCCTTGTGGAAGAGATACGTAGATGACACGTTCGTCATCTGGCCACATGGCCTGCCAGCATTTAACCAATTTCTCAACCACATCAATTCCATACACCCATCTATAAAATCCACATGGAAGTGGAAAAGGATGGCAAGCTACCATTCCTGGACGTTTTGATCGAGAAGAGACCTGATGGCTAATTGGGACACTGTCTACAGGAAAGCCACCCGCACGGATGCCTATCTAAAGCCTGATTCCCACCACCATCCGGCCCAGAATAATTCCCTCATCAAAACACTACACCATAAGGTATGTTGCATCTACGATCAGCATCACCTAGCCAGTGAGCTGGGGCACATACACCAAGCCCTCAGGATGAACGGATATTCTGACCGTACAATCCACAAAGCTGTCTCCCCAGCCATGGGGAGACAACCATCTGAGGATCCAATCAATACCATCACTTTGCCATACATAGCAGGGGTTACCAAAAAGATTTTCAAAATCTTAAACAATCACAAGATCCAGGTTCGTTTGAACACAGTACACAAAATCCGTGATTTGATCCCATCTGTAAAGGATGTGATTCCTGATATGCAATACCCGGGTGTCTACAAACTAAGTTGTGGCTGCGGCAGCAGTTACATTGGGGAAACGAAACGACATGTCTCGGACCGCGTTCGTGAACACAAGGCAGATCTGAAACACAGTAGGACCAATACCTCTGCCATTGCTTATCAATGTTTTAACGCAGTGGGCTCACACGAAATTTACTTTTCCAAGACGAAGGTACTCTGCAAACCCATCGGCTATTATCAGAGATTTGTTCATGAAGCCATCCAGATATATAAACACAGACACAACTTCAACTGAGAAGATGGGTACAAACATCATTGGAAGGACGTTATTAACCAGGTAAAGTCTTAACTGACTGTGATGTTTCCATCCTACCTGCCTATGTCAGCTGTTATTTCTGACTCTCGGTGTGTCTTTCTCTCTCTCTCTGTGCATCTCTCTCCGATCTCTACTCCAGTGACCCGGGTGCTGCTACGGGGTCCACTTTCTGCCCCGCCTCCTCCCCCCCTTCTCTTTCCCCCCCTGCAACCGACCTCTCCAGTGCTGCCGCGGTGGCCCATTTTAGCAGTGTTTCCATATTGCAACACAATCTTTGAAATTCTTCATTATGTTAATGCATATGCATTTACGTATACTATTTATGACTATAGTATTTCATTTTAAGTACAATATATATATTGCATAACTTACGCTCATTTACAGACTTATCAAATTAGAAAACAGATCAGTAGGGTTGTAGTTAGAAGTCGAAAGGTCAGGTACTTTCTATTTAAATGCAGGATTTGTCTATTATTACACTTGCATGCAACACCTTAAAAAATATTTATATATTTACTTAATTTCAATAACGTTACATAAGAAGCGATAGCTTTATTTAAAAAAACTCTATAAGCATATGAATGTGAACTGGTGACATTGGTATGTCAAGTATGCACTTGTCAAAAGTCAAGCTGAATATAGAGAACAATACAATTTTACAGAGTAACAGGAGTACTTTATATTCAGTCATCCTTTGATCGTGTTCACAGTATCTACCTGCATCGTATATTGTCTGGAGAAAAAAAACTTCAACCTGCGGTCATTAAACCCCACGAACTGCTATTGTCAGTAATAATTACCTCGCTAGAAGGAAGCACAGTATTGGCCTTTGAGATGTTTTTCCATTTACCCAGTTTTTAGAGTGAGGATGCCAATTTGCATTAACGCAAACAAGCAAACCACACGATGTTTCATGTTGGAATGTCTCTTGGCATAGATTTTTTTGAAAAGCTAAAATGACCATTGTCTCAAAGATGGCACACGCACCATTCACCTAAATCCACCAAAAGGCAGCGTTCAAACTTTGGACCCTATGCACATCATGAAATGTTCTCAGAATAAAAGAAGAAAGGAAACATGAGACCCAGTTGTGTTTGTGCATAAATAATCATAATTAATAACACAGTGGGAATATGTTTCTCTTTAATCCATGATTCATTGCAGCCTTCAGCCAATTTCTCCCTCAAAGCAGTTTAACCAAATCGCATAACACGTGCATTTTGCATTCTGGCTGCAATTATTTTTCAATTAGAATAAAAGTGCAAAAGCTGTGGCGTTCTACAAGAAAGGTCCACCGCACACCCCACAACATTGCAGATGACATGGAATTTCACTGCCAGACTTCCTGACTCATACGTACAAACAAGATCACATCTCACAAAAAGTCTTCAGTATTTACTCTCAATTTAATCGGGCGTCAATTTACAAGATTACCCCAACTCTCTGAAAAGATGGTAAATGTGAATATTTTTTTGCAAGCCTAACTCTCCCATGTCGTCTCTCTCCTCGCCCGACTCGTCTGCTTTGCTCTCGGGACACAAGCCTCTTGGTGTAACCCACAGCCTAACAAATTGTGGGAGATTTCGATTTAAAGCTTTCGTGACTGCAGGGATTCATCTTCTTGGTTCTTTCGGTAAAGTCACGTAGAAGGGAAGTAATAAAATAATAAAAAATAAAACATAATAAAATAATTCTCACGACGTTTCGGCCACAACGCAAGCAGCCGTCCTCAGGTGAAGACCAGGTCTGTCGGGGAGACAGCGTCTGACGCGTTGTGGCCGAAACGTCGTGAAAATTATTTTTATTATGTTTTATTTTTTATTATTTTATTACTTCCCTTCTACGTGACTTTACCGAAAGAACCAAGAAGATGAAATTGTGAGAGGTCACTGCTCCGCTTGAAATTCCCTCTCCATAGTAAGTCAGCACTACTGGCTTCCTCCCTCTCTTCTCAATCCAGACTTGAGACTTATTTTTATTCTCCAATAACACCCTACTGTTTTTTTGTAAATCCACAACCCCCATACACAGAATTCACCCTTTCCTCCTACGACTTTTCCAGTCTACAGAAAATGTGTCATTTTATAGATTCTCTATGAGTACAAATTGCATTTTATTAGTTAATTAATCGTAATTGTATTGTGGTATTGTATTACACTTGCTTAAGAACTGTTACATACTCCCACAAAATGAGTGTAAGGGATAGATCAAGATTAATTTCACATTTCGTATAAATGAGTGTCAATATCCAATGAGCAGATAGCAAGACGATAAAAATAAAGAAGACACGTTCACTTTGCTTTTAACTGAGCATAAAAGTAAAACAAATCCTCACGTAATGGACAATTTGTCAGTACCATTTCCAGTCCATTCAACGTAGTCATATTCATCCCAAACATCAATTGACTTATAACGTTGTAATCCCAAACGTTCATACATTATTTACTAATTTCGTTTTAAAGCTTTCGTGACTGCAGGGATTCATCTTCTTGGTTCTTTCGGTAAAGTCACGTAGAAGGGAAGTAATAAAATAATAAAAATAAAACATAATAAATAAAATAATTCTCACGACGTTTCGGCTACAACACAAGCAGCCGTCTTCAGGTGAAGAATGAGACACTACCAAGCTTGGCAGTGTCTCATTCTTCACCTGAAGACTGCCAAGCTTGGCAGTGTCTCATTCTTCACCTGAAGACGGCTGCTTGCGTTGTAGCCGAAACGTCGTGAGAATTATTTTATTTTATTATGTTTTATTTTTATTATTTTATTACTTCCCTTCTACGTGACTTTACCGAAAGAACCAAGAAGATTATTTACTAAATTAATTCTCTTACATTTTCGGCAAATGGTGTGTTTAGGCGCTTCGAATTCAAACATTAGGTTAATGCTGCCATCATTTAAAATATAATTTCTTCAAAGCCTTTCGGATACTGTATGTGCACAGTACATGGATACATAAAGAGGGCCCGGCAAAACAGCCCGGATACACGCCACTTGGGTAAGTTTGTATTGATGAGAACTTTTAAGGCTATTACAGCAAATGAGAGGCTGGTGGGGACCCGCTCCCAATGGCTGGACTCATTTCTCTCTCCACCCCACAGCCCGTGCCCGATGTTGACACACCACGCCAGGTAATCATTTCAGACACAGGTGACCTAAGGGAGGCACAGGTCAGGTTTATATGCCACAAATACAGATATCCTCCATTTGTCCTTTACAGGCTGTCAGGGCAAGTGCATGCACAGTAAACAAGCTGGCTGGTTTGGCTTAGCACCGTGCCCCAGCCATATTTGTGTCTATAGTTCCACGTTGAATTACACCGTACCAAGTACGAATTTAATGCAATTACATTGTAAGTGATATCCTACATGAAGGAGGTAGAAGTTACTAATCCAGTTATGCACAGGATATCATAATAATATATTTCTTTCTCGTGTCTGTTATATGTGTCCGGCGATGTATACTTTAATTGTGACACGGTGTTGCAGTTAAAAAATACTAATTGCAAAGCGCTTCCTCAAACTAAATTTCACCCATGTCTGAAAAGTGATTTTAATAAGCTGTCGTGGTGTAATGGTTACCACACTGAACCCACAATCCAGATTCCACCGGTTTTATCTCCCGGTGCGTGGTTGAAATAATGAACAAGTTTCATGAAATCCCCCAGCTCTATCCACCCAGCTGTACAAATGGATAAACTTGTCTTAATGCGCTCCTTGCCTGTGGCGAGATAAAGCGTGAGTACCCCCACCTCTTCCGAGATCTCTGGCGAGTGTGGAAGAGTAGGCCAAGTCACTTTTTTTTTTATGAGCCGCGCTTCTGCCAGCAGTTGCGTGCGCAAGTCCGGGCCCGGGGGGGTCTTCACCTTTGCTACTTTATTTATTTGCATGCGACTGCAGTTTTTGTGTCTGTCGACTGTATACTCGAGTGGTCTCTTACCTTCCCGAGGAGGAGGAGGAGGCACCGCGTATCTTGCGGAGGGTAACGGTGGCAACGGCGTGCTTTGTTCCTGCTACGATGTCACTGCTCACTCCCCACTGGTTCGGGCTTGCGGACACCACGGACAGAAGTGTCACTCCTTTCTTCACCTTCATTCTACAAAACAAAAAATGTTTCCAACGCAAGTGTGTTATTTCTCGTGAGGTCACCTTGAATCACCGTCACCGGTGAGTGTAGTTCTCCAAAAGCGCCGACTCATTGCGCTACCTATTTAAAAACGCGTCTGCTGATGTGTGTTCTTCAAATCGTTGATTTAACAACAACAAAAATGCATTACGTTTAATTACACGTTAAACCACTGTGAATATTTACAGCAAAATAATATGCAACAAAATTAATAAAATAGAGAATATGAAACATATACTCACTCGTGTGATACAGATAGTAAGAGTTTGATCAGATATTTTAGTGTCTGTAATTGATACGACTGTACATGATGGTAACTGTCAAAGTTCTAACGGAGTACCCAATTCCGTGTAAATTCCGTCGGTGGAAAACTTCCTTCAAACCACTACCAAATTTATTTGGCTGCCAATTTTCGATGAGGAATGCACGTGGCACCATTCGGCTCCCGGTTTGACAGCTAATTACCAGGTAGGGGAGGATCAAGGGTATTCCGCTGCAAGCTTCATGATCTCATGACAAAAAACTTTCCCATCGACAGAGCTGACCAATCAGCATCTGAGCCATCGGACACACACGCATACATTCATAAATGAGCCACAATACCTTGCTGATCTCGTCTAGGAGCATAAACCATCACACGAATTCCGGTCATCCTGAGAGCTTTTTTTGGTGGCCATCGAACAAAAACGGCCACTGCATCGCGCGCTTTCAAATGGGCTTCTGCGGCCGTCTGGAACACACTTCCTTCCGGTATTAGGAAGCCGCTGGAGCTATGTACTTTTAAATCTAGGTTGGAAACTCATTTCTTTAGAACTGTGTTTAGTTTGTTGTCCTTACCCCGCAACTCCGATTAGTGCGGTCGGCTACGAATGGTGCAAAAGAAGTTCAACATTCATACAATGTTCCTCTACTTATCGAGGCCCCACTGCTTGTAGTGCTGTTCAAGGATTTACATGTTTTTACGCCACGACATCTCAAACAGCCTAACAAAATGCAAACAAGGAAAAAGGAAATCAATAGATGGTAATAAAGAAGAGTGCGCGAAGGACAATTCACACCCAGTGGTGAACAACAACCAACACATACAAAGACAAATATCCACGTAGCCTTTATAGGCACAATTGGCTACGTACGGTGCGAAAGAAGTTCAACATACGTACATATAAGTGTGGGTGTCAGTGGCTCTCACCCCTTCAAAGCCACTATTTGAGTCTGCAAAGGTATAACCTGCTTCGCAAAGGACAGACACAGTTGACTATGATGCTAATGATGAGAATGGTAACATTCACAGCTATAATATATGAATCCACCAATTTCAATCTATTTCTGAATCACCAACCCTAACATCTACACAGACAACAAACCGCGAATCTCCTCATCCACCAACTCTTGCCAACTGTGCACCCGTTCTTAATGTGTACTCCATACAACTATCGGGCACCCATGTAAGGCTGAGTTGATCTATGGGAGGCTCAAGACAATTTCTGCATTGCAGTGTACTAACCACTCCATCACTCTTGACATAATTTGGCCCAATAATATATAAAGCTACATGAAGGAAGATCTTTACCTTGTGTGAGTGTATGTATGCTTCATCATCATAAAATGCTTCATAATAATCATCATTGAAATAATTATCATCTTCATCATTGCCATCATTACCATCACCATCATCATTGTCCTTTTGTAGATACCCAACACATTGTTCCCGACTTTCCACCGCCCATTCGTAAAATTTGGCTAACAAAAATGTGCCACACGAAGAGGGCAGAATTTGATTTTACGCCGACTCAGCGCTGACTTCAGTGAGAGCCATCCCCGGATTGAGATCGTCGCAATTCCACTGCTGTAATTGAGAGACACCGTGTGCGGGAACGTTCTGTACTTGCGTCGCCCCGCTCGAGCTCCCGTGCCCAGCCAGCTCTGGCAAATTTGACTCATTGCAGTGTTGGACTCATCTGCGCAACGCATTGAACATTGCAGAACGGGACCGACTGTCTGGAAAATAATAGCTTTTGCAAAAAAAACACGGCAGAATGGCGGGCCAAAAAACACGACATCAATGAGGTTCGCAGTTCATACCTGCTAATTTCTAACCACGGCGTTCAATTTCTGCATGTGGTGTATTGTCATTGCGCCAGAATTGTAATCAGGGATTGGACATCATTGTGCAAGTTATCTCAACATTAATGATTCGGCAAAAAATGTATCCCTTTCCACCCAGGTTGAGGGCACTTTAGCCTCGTATAGAACTGGCATTGTCGTAAATGTCAGATTGTAATCTTGAGCTTTCAACTATTCAATTGCAGCCAACCACGTCTTTCTTATCATGAGCAGTAGTTTAGAAAATTGCAAGCATATAATGGGAATTTTAAACTGATTACCACTCAATTTTGTAATTGCTTCTATTGATTTTGCGTGAAATGACAGAAATGAAAATCCTAAGAAGATAGCTTTCGACAACTTATAAATAAGCATGCCTTTTAATTCCATGGAATGGATTAGGTAAAATTTGTATCACATGGCATCCTCATTTCATGCGTACCGTCTTCCGATCAGTACCTTTATGTGGTTAACACTTGTGAAGTTTCTAATTTCCTTCTATGTGGTGTTTTGTTCCATACCGTGCATATATACAAAACACATTTTAGTAGCAGGGTGTATGTAAAAAAGGAGGCACATTTTCTATAATCACATTTTCTACAATAATGTTATATATTCAACGCTGTAGATATATGTACTCATTGAGTGTTTATTAGTGTAACAATTTGAGCATACATAACAAAAAAGTATCATGTCATGACTAAAAAATAAATTCACATCCATCAAACACACTGCCTTAAAAGCACTATATATAATAGGCACATCATCTGCTCTGAAGGAGGGCCATTGTCCAAAACGTCACCTGTTATAGATTTTTAAGGAAGTGTTGTTGGCGACTGTGTTGGGCGTTTTGTTGTTATTTTCTGCTTGTGCACCACTGCCAATGCAGTCTCGCCAAAACACATTCCTGCGGAGGGAGCTGGTAGGAACGTTGGGTTGTTCGGTCAATGGCCAGGGTCAACGGCGGCGTGGTGTATTCCGCAAATATGCCCGACTGTGAGGGCGGGCACAAGCCGGCGTGAGTAGGTTAAACGTTGAGTTTTAAAAGGGCACCACGGGGTGACCAGCCCCTCCCCACCCAGCCCCACCACTCCCAGCCCCACCCTCCCTCCCCACCCCACCCTCCCCACCCTCCCCACCCAGCCCCTCCCCAGCCTCCTCTCCCCTCCCCAGCCAGCCCCACCCTCCCCACCCTCCCCACCCAGCCCCTCCCTCCCCACCCAGCCCCTCCCTGCACGACGGACGGACACAATAATCCCCTGTGGGCTGGTGGAACCAGTGGATTCCTACCAGTATATGTTACTCCAATGTAACACCAAGCTGAATGCTATTGCCTGAAAGTAAAACAGAGAATACAAAAGAAACTATTGGCTTGCAGCCTTCAATTGCAGCATCTTCTGTTGGTTACCAGGCAACGCACTGGGCTGTCATCTTCCCTCCATTCTTCTTTATTGAGTATGGATGACTTCGAGTTTAAGTCAAGGTTTTGCTTTTGCAGTCCTGCAGAGGTTGTACGACAGGAGCCCAATCGTAGTATTGTAATTATTGGGACATTTCTGAAATCGGGGTATATGGCTTGACATTATTTATTCATGGGGGGTAGGGGGTGGTACGGTACCAGGGCTATGAATCTGGTCGCCTGAGTTTGATTCCTGGGTGCGGATAACATCAGCGGCGAGTAATATCTGAACCGGTTCGAGCACCGTCTCCTTCCCACTCATCAACCCCACCATTCACCAACCCACACGAACCACCTTGGGGTCGCACGGTCAAACAACCCCCATTAGTCTTATATGTTCAAACAAAATAAATGTGAAGCAGTAATGTTAATGTTTGGTGTTATTTCCATTTAGCTGATTTTATTGCTCCATCTCCTTTGTGGCCATCCTCTGGAGCACGTTCCCTCTCTTTGGTACCACTGTTGTCATTATTCTTGAATGCTAGCCATCATCCCTAGTAGCGACATACCCTATCCTGCCCAAGCACACTTACTGTACGTTACTTGAATATGTAATTGGAGGTGCGGGGGAAGGACAACAAACTAAACACAAAAAGCAGTTTCAAAGAAATGAGTTTTCAATCTAGATTTAAAAGTGCATAGCTTCAGTGGCTTAAGAGTCAACATGACATATTTCACTTCCGCATGTTCCCAATCTATGTGTATAAGCTTTGGGTTTTGTTCCATTTTCTCTGTCAATATCCATGTTGCTGATCCATGCGGAAGTAGTATGCATTTATAAATGTGTACACATATATTCCTCACACTTCTATGGACATATGCATGTTGGAATATATTACAGACTCCATGCATAAGCATTATTTTTCTTCATTGTTTATAAAATATATGAAATGTTATTTTGCCTGCATTTGTTTAAAAATGCAAAACGGGAGAAGTGAACGCTATTCAATGATAAATTACCAGCGGGCTCATTTTTTTTTCAGCTACTGTGTTTTTTGACACGCGCAGTAATCATTGTGATAACAACAAAAAAAACAATACAAATTATTAATGCTAGTAGCACCTTATGCACATTTGAAAAAAAAAATCATGTCCTCTAAAATGTACGAGTTTGTCTCGGCCATTTACTTTACAATAACGAATTACCTCCGAGGATAATCATTTTCACTAATGTGCTTGTCAGCCATGCCCCCCCAAAAAATGCTTTGCATGAACACGGTGGACAGTCAATCAATTCACAATGATCTGTATGCACGACGATGCAAAGCATCTACGCGTTCTGATACCGGCCAGCTTATGTGTGCAATATGCGCTTCAGGCCCAACGTGAGACGTTGGGAGGGTGCAAAGAAGATATTCTTAGGTTTTTTCGGTAAAGTCACGTAGGTAAAACATCTAAATTAATAAAA